GGGAGCTGCCTCCGGTGAGCGGAGCCCTCGGGGCCTGCCGCGGCTGCGCGGGCCCTGCTCGGCTCCGAAAGCCCTTGTACGATGCTGGTAACAGCGTGCGAACGAGGCTGCCTGGAGAGTCCCCCGACAGCGCTTGCCCCGGGGACCCAGCGGCTGCCTGCTCTCGCCGCCGTTTGAGGCGGGGGGAGGGGGCCTTTTTCTTTTCCGCCGAGGGGGAGGGCTGCGCCGGAGCTGCTTCGCAGTGCCCCGCACCAGCCCCCTGGGTGAAGCTGCGCAGCCGCCTTTAACGGCTCCTTTTGCCATGCAGGTACTGCCACGTGAACGTGCCGGACGAGTTGTTGCGGGACTTGCTTCCTGGACCTGTGACCCTGGTCTTAAAACGTTCAGAAGAACTAAATAAAGACTTGAATCCTTTCACATCGGTAGGTCTTTGCCACAGGATACGTCTGTGGTTTTGAGGGATGGTACGCCGTTTTTGTGCTTCTGTAGTAGCTTCTAGTTTTATGCGTGTGGTCAGTGAGCTTGGCAGCGGTTGGTATTTCCCCAGAGCTGCTCCCTGTGCTGTCATCATCCCCATGACTTACTAGAACACGGCGTAACCCAGGGTTAGGGGTTAACGCATGAAAGCATGTCTCGTTATAGCAGGTGTTGATATCATGATTCTCTAGAGTATCAGCCTTAAGTCAGGGGGGCTTGGGGCAATGCAAGATTGAAAACGGTTGCTGCGTGTAAAACCATGCTCTCTTCTTCCTTGTAGCTGGTTGGTGTTCGTATTCCAAACCACCCTTTTATTAGGGAGTTGGCACGAGCTTGCTCTGGACCACTGGCTTTAACAAGCGCTAACATCAGCTGTCAGGCGAGCACGCTGACGGTTTCGGTAAGGCTGGTTTTGCCACTAATTGGCATTATTGTGGTAGTCTGTCAGAGACTGAGATGCTCTCAATTGGAAGCCAGCTTTAGCAATAAAACAAGGATTTCTCCGATGCTGCTGGTTTTTTTTTAATTATGATCTCTAGTTAAAACAGCCTGTGGGTGCCTGGTGTGGGGTAGCTGTCTTGCTGTGATCCTCACCTTAAAGAGTGAGGAGAGCAGAGCTGAAATGCAATATTTAAAGGCTTATACACAGCTTTTGAAGTGGGTGCTAAATCTGAAAGACGGAAATTGCTGTAGGAGGGTTGGCTGTGGAATGAGACTGCTGCTGTCTGTACGACTTCTTGCAGCCTAGTAACTGTCACTCAAGGAGATGTCTTGTTGCAATCTGATTCTGGCAATGGCACAGATGAGGATAGTACCAGCCAGATGCTCTGTCCTTGCCCCCAGAATGTCTTGATAGGCTTCTGGCTTTCTTTGTGCACTCCTTAATAAACAGCAGCGCAGCTAAGAAATCTTCAACCAGAGAATCCCTGTGGCTGTTCTGCAGGTCTGAGACCAGTCTGGTTTCAGAAATCAAACTGGGATGTGTTCATGGCAGAAAAAAAGTGAGCTGACCTGGCAGAGGAAGGGGAGAGACCACCTCCCTTGACACCAGAACACCCAGCAGTGTCTGTTAAAATAAGATCGCAAACCGTCTTGAGGACTGTTAACCACATTTTTCCTTTTTGTTTTTCCAGGAATTCCAAGACCTGTGGCCTCAGTTGGCTTTGGTCATTGATGGAGGGCCAATAGGGGATGTCCAGAGCCCAGAGTGTCGTTTGGGGTCGACAGTGGTCGACTTATCTGTGTCGGGGAAATTCACCATCATTCGTCCTGGCTGGTGAGCACTCTGCTGAACAGAACTCTAACTGGCTTAGGTTGGGTTGTGTTTTGCCTCTTTTCCCATAGCGGTTGAACCTTCACATTAATGTTATTTAGCTTAATTACCAGCATGCGCAGAAATCCTGAAAGAGCGCTCCCAAATTCCGAGCCCGGCCCTTTCTAGAAGCTTCTCTGGGAAACACTCTAGGCTTTGGAGTTTAAGTTCTCCTTGATTCAGAATGCAGTTACTGTGCCTTGCTGATTACTCTTTCTTAGAAAATGCAATTTAATCCTTAAAACCCTTTTTTCTGACCGTTCTGTTTCATCCCTCAGTGCACTGGCATCTACAGTTGAAATCCTGAGGCAGAAATATGGCTTGATACAGGATCATCTTAAGACTTCCGACTCCGAGGAGGCTCTGCAGAGCTGGTAAAGCTGGGCACCGTGTGCCTGTGCATTCAGGAGATGGGTGTTCCTGGCCTTGTTTAATAAGGTCAACGGGTTATGTCAATGTTAATAGACAAAAGATACAAAACCAAGAGCAATAGTTGATGGGTATCTGTTAGTTATATCTGCTGCAGTCTGAGAAACCAACCCAAATATGTATGCCCACCTCGTGCTGCTGTACTATTCCCCAATACCTGTGTTTTATTACCATGACGAGGCTTTTGAAATACAGTAATTTGAATGTTAGACTATTTTTGGGTTAGGGTGAAGATAGTGTCTGATCCACTCTCCCCTTAACGCTTATCCCGTGTGTGTGTGTTGCATCTGCACTGGAAGAAAAGCAAAGATGGAAGAGTTTTTTTGAGCTTTCATGACCTTACGGCTGTGGTGTCCTCGGGCTTTTCTGTTCTAAATGTAACCAAAACCTACTACTGAGACAAAACTGTACGTGCTTTTGAAAATTAACAGTATGCAAATGGTCCCTGTCTAGAGAAGAGTGCTTAGAAAGACCTGACTTCTGCCTAATACAAAGAATGAAAACAAGCTCTCAGCGTGTTGAACTTCATTTCTGAAATGCGGCCTTCCCTCTCTTCACTGTGTTGTGAAAGCAGTGCTGAGCTGGAGTAAGTAGGGGACGGATGTAACTTTCCTTTGGTGTTTATTCTTCATTGAGAAGTGAAGTTTATGGAGCTGCTGTTAATTAAAAAACTGGTAAGCAGCTTGCATGATTTTGTTCTAAATGCTTGTTTTTAGACGTCTGCGTCCCTTAAAAACGACGGACAACGTGCTTAGCAAGAACATGTATGGAGTCATCATAAATAGAACCTTGTTTCACCTCCAGAGCTGGCACTTTTCATCTTATTGATATAGACAAGTATAAATTAATTTTAGGGCTAACTTAGAAAGGTCCAAACATGGCTAAAATCACAAAAAAGGGCAAGCTTTGGGAGCTGAACCTCTTCCAAAGCACAGATTAATGGTGCTTTTATTAATTAATGACTGGTGTTTTCAGTTGCATTTTTATTGCAAATACTTTTTTTTCCTTTCTCCTTGGTTCTGAAGGGAATAAAGCACCTTCAGATCTAAATGTTCAAAGCGTGGAACACTGAACAACCAGTTAGGAGCTTTCAGTATAGACCATTGCCTTTCCTTGTTTTCCAGCAGATACAGCAGTAGCAGTGAGTGGCCTCTGGTGTTCCAGCTTTAATTGTCTTCAGTTAATTTAATATTCAGTTATTTAATATTCCAGAGGAGTGGCAAACCCTGAAGTCACATCAACCGCTGCTCTGTCTCTTCACTGAAATGTTCTGCCCAGCTGCGAGTCAGCTCCAGGTACAGGCTCGCCCACCCACCCCACAGCATCTCCCGCTCGGCCCCGCTGATGGCAATGGGGCTGCAGCGCGCCCGGCGGAGCCGCCGCGGGTGTCCCCGGTGCCCCCCCATCTCTCAGGCTGCGTCTCCAGTGGGTGAGATGGGAGGCTGCTAGTGCCCCCTGCAAGCCCGGCGGTGGGACGGGGCAGGGGTCGTGTCCGCGCTTGGCTCCCGAGTGGCCTCTCGAAACGGGGGGCGG